AAACCTGGGTGTTTTTAGGGGCGTGATATTCAAATGACGATTGTTTTCTGGCGCCACATTTATCAACATGCGATCATTCGTACGATGAGATCGGCGGCATACGAATGTTTCATAAATCACACGTGAACTCTGTCGTAAGTTGATTTGTGCGCACAGATCTGCGCTCGTTTCTACGTTAGATTGATAAATGAGGCCCATTGTGTGCCCAAATGCACATTAAACTCTGCACTGTACAGTGATAATCGTACTAAGCTATATTATCATTTAAGATTTATTCTGATTAACTGTGCAGCCCTATTTAGTCATTTTAATATTAGAATTGGTTTAGTTCTTATTTATTTTTTATCAACCCACAAACACCATGCAGTTCCCTGCGTTACAGCATCATCTTAAGTCAAATATTCTATCATATTTAGGTTCCTGTGAACATTGTGAACTTTAGTGTATGTGTGTCAAACTCTTTTATTTTTGAAAAAAAAACAAGAAAGCTCCTCTTTTCCCTGTACAGAGGTTGTTTTTGGATTTCAGGTGGTGCTCTGGCTGAAGGTTTTCAAGCGCGAATGTTTGAGTTTCAGAACTTTGAAAGGCGTTTTGAGGTGAGTGTTGTTGGGTTTGAGACTGTCATTGGGTTAAGCGTGCCTGTCTGACTTTCATGTACGTGTGTCCTTACAGGAGTGCATCTCGCAGTCAGCGGTGAAGACTAAGTTCGAGCAGCACACCATGAGAGCCAAGCAGATTTCTGAAGCTCTGCGTCTGATAATGGACTCTGTGCACATTGCAGCTCAAGAGCAGAGGTGAGCGCAAAGACGGTAATCCATCACACTCAACACTGATCCTCTGGTGACATTGAAATCAGAGCCTGACTGTGCTGTTATAGGAGACGAGGAGGAGGAGATATAAATGGTGGAGTCAAATGTTGAAATTAGGGATAATATCCACAACATATTTGAAAGGTTGCTGCTAATAAAAAATAAACCGTAATTTTGCATGATTTTCTGGAGCTATTACTCCAGTCTTCAGTGTCACATGATCCTTCGGCCATATTTGTACTGTAATATGACATTTTCTCACATTCAAATCAACAAGCTCTCGAATTTTGCTCTTCTCATACCAGCATGACTGCACATAAACCAAGCGACCTTCAAAATAGAGTTGCTGCTACTTGCATCACATGTGCTTAGGATACGGTGATCAGGAATCATATTGAGCTAACAGTCTTACATCAGCTTTATTAAAATGAATCTGCGTCTTCATTTGAAGGATAGCTTCTATGCATAGACTGAAATTAATATTTAGAATGATGAATTTTTGTGTGTGTGTTCTTGTTCAGGATTCATTGTTTAGAGGTGAAAGAGGAGAGGGAGGACAGGCTGGAGTTCATCGATAAACAGCTGGATCTGCTCACTCTGGACTGCAAGAGCAAAATCAAGAAGATCACAGAGGAGGTGGAGAAGCAGGTGAGACTGTTTTTCAGAACGTTACTAAGTAACTAACATCTAAGTCTACAAAAAAGCTCACTATGAAGCCAATTTGTAGTTTGATTTGTGTATACATGCTGGAGGAAGCTGAGCTACAATCACACTATCGAGGTCTGTTACAAACACAGCTGATGCTGGTTCATCATCACTTCTTGTCCTTCTGGATCTTTCTGCTGCGTTCGACACTGTTGATCACGGGATACTTCTCAACCGGCTACATCACTCCATTGGACTTAATAGCATCGTCCTGCGCTGGTTTGAGTCATACCTCATGGACAGATCTGAGTTTGTGGCCATGGGAAGCTCAAGGTCCCGTTCACATGCTGTTGGATGTGGGGTTCCACAGGGATCAGTTCTCTGACCTATTTTATTCATTCTCTACATGCTCCCACTTGGCAAAGTCATCAGTCGTTTGGGAACTTCCTTCCATTGTTACGCTGATGATACACAACTATATATGAAAGCTGATACTCACTCATCATCATCGTCATCATTAGCAACTTTATCTACACTCACTGCCTGTCTGGTGGAGATAAGGGTGTGGATGAATCATAACTTTCTCCAGCTGAATAGCTCAAAAACAGAAGCCATCCTCATTGGTTCCCTCATCAGATCCCTCATCAGATCAGAACATCTGCCATAACTTGCATTACATTTTATGGCCAGGACATTCCCTTATCACCATTAGTCACCAATCTTGGCGGTAGGATTGACCCTCATTTAACCTTTGAGGCTCACATTAAACATCTTTGCAAAACATAATTTCATCACCTCAGGAATATAGCCAGACTTCTTCCTACACTCACCTTACATGATGCTGAGAAACTCGTCCACGCATTTGTCTCCTCCAGACTAGACTACTGCAACATCCTGAAACTCCAGCACATACAAAATAGTGCCGCTAGGATCCTGAGGAGAGTGTGTAAATACAAACACATCACACCAATTTTTCAATCATTACACTGGCTTCCCATTTCTGCCCGCATCGAATACAAAGTATCCCTCCTCACACATCAGTGCATCCATGGCAATGCTCCCATTTACCTTAAAGAACTCCTCACCTAACAGATTTCAGCACATTCCCTCCGTTCCACAAACACGCTTCTTCTCACCCCTAGGACTAAGACTCGCACCATTGGGGATCGAGCCTTTTGCGCCGCCACCCCTCGCCTGTGGAATGCCCTCCCTGAACATCTGAGGGCTCCACAGACAAACTGATGGTTTTAAAAGGGGTCTAAAAACGTACCCGTTTAAAAAGTCTTTTAATATTTAATGTTTAAACTTTTGTGTTTATCTCAGTTGGTAGCTGGTTTTAATTATATTTTTATATTATTATGGCTCTTTTTGTAGCACTTTGAGATTTTCTTTAAAATGTAAAGTGCTTTATAAATAAAATGTATTATTATTATTATTATTTATATATGTTTTTAATTTTAATTATTATTATTTTTTTTGTTGCAAGTTTAAAGATGATAGTTTCCTTTTGAAATTGGTAAAAAAAAAAAAAAAGACTACTACATAAAGATGCAATTTTTTTCTCTCTCTCTGTTGGTCCTTATTTTATATTTTTTGTTAGGTCTTTTTGTTCTTTTGTTAAGTTTTAAGTCAAGTCACCTTTGTTTGTTTAGTGCTTTATACAATACTGGTTGTGTCTAAGCAGCTTTACAGTGTCAAACAGGAAAATAGTTTGTCAATAATGCAAGAAGACAATAACAGAGTCGTTTGCATATTAAATGGAAACGCATAATGTCATAATTTCAAGGCATTAGGTAATGGGTATTTTGCAAAACCTGATTATTGAAACAAGTATGGATTTGGAGTCTTTAGGAACTTTAATTTTCAATTTAAGTTTCAAACACTATAAAACTAGCCCTAATGAGGGTGTTTCCGTTTTTCATCCCGTAGGTATCTAACGCCATGGCAGAGGAGATCCGGAGACTGGCTGTGCTAGTGGAAGACTTCCACATTGACTTTCATCCTTCACAAGTGGTGCTCAAAGTATATAAGAACGTGAGTTGGACTTGAATTGGTCTTCCTCCAATCAGCCGCCCATGTCTTCTCCTCTTTATTTGTATGCTCTTTTATCAACTGTAGTTTTATGTTTAGTGTCAACATGCAGCTCTCCTCAAGGAAAACCCCTAGCTGCCCAGTAACATCATGTGATCTCATCGACGCCCTTGTCCTTGATCTTGTTAACTTTCATTTTTCATATGGCTGCGTATAGATTAAACCAATTAATAGCCAGGGCTTGAATTTCGGCGTGGGATTGTGCATAATTTTACTGCTTCCCGCAGTTTACGCTCTTGTGACGTGGGAAATTCCCACAAATATTTCAGAGTGAAAGACGCTCGGGACAGATGACGGAATGTATCATTTGCACATGCTTTTTAGTCTTACAATTTTAAACATTCAAGTGCTCAATTCAGTAATTGCGCGCTCTCTGTGAGACCCCTTTCTGTGAGCTCACACCTAAAGCGCTCGCACATAGAGCCGCATCTGAGAGCGCGCGACTACAGAATGAAGTTGTGTTGCACCTTATTGCACGTAAACGAACAAATACATACAAAATTAAGTCAAAATGCCCGTCTAGATGAGTATACACGTAAACGGTCGATTTATACTAAACATTGCCGGTTATAGGCTATTAAATGAATGTAAACAGTTGAGAAACAAAACTTATGTGTAACAGATCCGTGCATGAGGTCTTAAAGAGACAGCAACCTAAATAAAGCTGCTGCTGTCTGTCATTAATGTTTATTTATACATTGAAGACTATAACTAGTGTTATTTTAAAGTTAAATAGCCTCTCATTCTGCGCTGGTTGCTATTTGATCGCGTCATATCATTGTTCGGTACAATTTATTCGGTCTATTCGCTTATGCCGAATAATTTCGGTTGCCCAACATTCGGTGCATCCCTAATTAATTTAACAACATTTAATAATAGGTTAATGTGTAATCTTTGGTAGCTCTATTACATGATGGTGAAATGTCTTTTGTGTCATGTTATTTTGATGATTGAAATGATTGGTTTCAGGAGCTACACAAGCACATAGAGGATGGACTTGGCAGGAATATGTCTGAGAGATGCTCCTGTGCGATAACTGCAGCACTGCAAAACACACAGACTGAAATGATAGGTCGGTATCCCTCTCATACGGTGAGTTTTCATACAGCTCATCCAGTATCAGCAGCAGGTTAAAGTACTCCTGATCGTTCCAGAGGGCCTGAAGCCCCTGCTACCCATCGGGATTCGAGAGCAGGTGGATAAGATGGTGCCCAGACAGTGCTTCGCCCTCAGCTACGACCTCAACTGTGACAAACTCTGCAGCGACTTTCAGGAAGACATCGGCTTCCACTTCTCTCTGGGCTGGACCATGCTGGTCAACCGCTTCCTGGGTCCCAAAAACACACGCCGCGCTCTCATGGGCTACAATGACCAGGTAGCACGTGTTAATTGCAGACTTCTGTTTTGTAATAATGTTCAGATTTGTCCATCTAAATCAGGGTGTCCAATCCTGGTTCTGTAAGGCCAACATCCTACATATTTCTTCTCTGGGATAGAAGGCTTCTATGCTTTGGCGAGCATAGTGCTGCAAGACAGAGCTTAAAACATGGAAGAAAAAAATTATATTCCTTAAAGTATACTCAATAAACAATGCAATATGAATTAGTATTGATTCTAGAAAAAAAAAGAAATCTATTTCAAAATTGTGAAACAAAAAATGCTATGCAGTGGAGCCAATGTTTGTAGCTGCATCTGTATCTGTAACAATCACAAAATTATTTGTATCTGTTTTCGAATAAAACTGGTAGTAGGCGGGGCTTGAACCGGAAGTTCATACAGTTACTTAAGAAGATCGTAATCTGTTTTTTTTTCAATCTCTTTTTTTGTAGTTATCACTGTACAAATATGCCGTGTTTAACTAAAATAATATATTTTTTTATGATTTTAACATTTAAATATCTTCTAACTGTCGGAGCCGATACTCTTGTATAGGCAGTAAAATGGCTTGGGGACCTTTCGTGATCCGATAAATAAATATTTAAATATCTTCTAATTGAAGCAGTAAGGGCTCCTATGCAGTTTGGAAATATGGAAATTGATTTAAGTCATTTCCAGGAAATGCACGGTGAAAGGTAACTGCAACACTGATATTTTATTTGCGCTTATTTCATTCATAGAGTTTACACTCACTTACTTCACACACTCGTTATTGCGTAGTGATTTTAAAGGTTTATGTAAAATAACACGATTTATCCTGGCTCACTGTTTGTGCAGTTTGGAAAAGTATGGAAAAAAGAGAACGGAGTATGGAAAAATATGTGTTTCGACTATTTGCCCTATTCAGTGTTCTAAAATATAAAATTTATAATTTCTAAAAACACATTCATCATACAAGCAGAGTAAGGACGCACGATATTGGATTTTTTCCGATATGCCGATAATTGTAAACTAATTTTGGCCGATGCCGAGATATAATTATTTTTAATTTTGGTTAGTTTTTAACAAGAACTTATTTGTTAGAATTAAATAAACAATAATAGTTATTTTATAATTACAGTACATTGAAGATTTAAAAATAACTATAAATAAACTATATATTAATCACTGCATTTCTTTTTCAGAAAGATGCAGTGGTAAGCTTAACAATTTATTTTATGATATAACATGTATAAATGGTCTAAAGCAAGTTGTACAAATTCTGAAAATCTTTTAGAGCTCATAATCTGTTTAAAAAATATAACATATTATACATTAATGAATAAATCAGTATATACAGGTGCATCTCAATAAATTAGAATGTCGTGGAAAAGTTCATTTATTTCAGTAATTCAACTCAAATTGTGGAACTCGTGTATTAAATAAATTCAGTGCACACAGACTGAAGTAGTTTAAGCCTTTGGTTCTTTTAATTGTGATGATTTTGGCTCACATTTAACAAAAACCCACCAATTCACTATCTCAACAAATTAGAATATGGTGACATGCCAATCAGCTAATCAACTCAAAACACCTGCAAAGGTTTCCCGAGCCTTCAAAATGGTCTCTCAGTTTGGTTCACTAGGCTACACAATCATGGGGAAGACTGCTGAACTGACAGTTGTCCAGAAGACAATCATTGACACCCTTCACAAGGAGGCTAAGCCACAAACATTCATTGCCAAAGAAGCTGGCTGTTCACAGAGTGCTGTATCCAAGCATGTTAACAGAAAGTTGAGTGGAAGGAAAAATTGTGGAAGAAAAAGATGCACAGCCAACCAGGCTGCCGCTGCAGTGCTATTACTGTTTACTCTATCACACACCTGACGTCATTCTGTACGTGCATTCTCAGTTTAAATGCAGATCCAAAACAGTGAATCTAATCACCATTCAGGCAAAACTGCTTCAAGAATGAGACGCAATGCTGACGTGATATAATCGCTAGCACACCCTGAGCACATGTGAGTTAATGTATTCCTCTTATCGGCAAGACATATCGGCATAATTTTTCATATCGGGCCAATGCCGGTATTTATATTTAAAGCCATTATCGGCCAATTCCGATATTGGTCCGATAATATCGTGTATCCCTAAAGCAGAGAGATTTCACGACAAACGTTTTGTGATCATTTGAACACGACTGAATTAATTCAAGCGCACATTTTCATTACACAGAACTCTTTAAGCGAGTCTTGAACTTGCAAATGTGTAGGCCTAGTAGAAAATGCGTATGTATCGAAGTTGATTATTAGCCTACTCTTGACAGAGAACTTGTTTGGTTTTTGAGAGACCGAGACGCGGCTGTTTGATTGGCGAACGTGCTGTGCTTGTTCCATTCATTCGTGTATCAAAATCATTGTGTTCTGTGTTGTCAGGTTCCCAGGCCTCTGGCCATCACTCCGGTCAGCACCAGTGTGCCTCCTTTCCCTCAAGGATCCATGATCCAGGAAGAGCTTATGGTTTCCATGGTAACAGGATTGGCATCACTCACCTCTCGGACATCAATGGGCATTATAGTCGTAGGAGGAGTGGTAAGATCATAATCTCTGATGCACTAAAAAATATAATGCACATTCTGTCTTCATTTACTCACCGTCATCTCCTGGTCTAATGACTTGGAATATCAAACGGATGAAAGCGGTGTGATTGTGTCTCAGATCTGGAAGGCAGTGGGCTGGAGGCTCATCGCTCTGTCTGTGGGTCTCTATGGGCTACTGTACGTTTATGAGAGACTCACCTGGACCACAAGGGCCAAAGAGAGAGCATTTAAAAGACAGTTTGTGGAGTACGCCAGCGAGAAGCTACAGCTCATCGTCAGCTACACGGGATCCAACTGCAGCCATCAGGTTCAGCAGTAAGTCCGAGTCTCAGTCTGTAGCAAAGGAAAGTCATGCCCAATCCTATGTGCCCTCCTCTAGTGGAGAAATTAAATATATGAAGTATATGTTTTTTGAGAGATATGCTTTCTGTAGTTGTGTTTTTTCGACCATTGTTGAATCCAGCCTGCTTAACTATGAATGTTTGTCCCAGGGAGCTGGCTGGCACCTTCTCTCAGCTCTGTCAGCAGGTGGACGTGACCAGACAGCAGCTGGACGATGAAATCCGGGATTTGAACTGCAAGATCGAACAGTTGGACGGCCTGCAGAGTAAAGCCAAGCTGCTCAGGTGAGAGTCTGTGATATCACATCATATGACTTTGCTGTTTGGTTGCAGTCGACTCTCTTGTTCAGGAATAGATAGTAGACTGTGACAACATATATGCTACAGTTTAAAGGTTTGGAGTCAGGGAGATTTTTAAAATAAATTCATGCTTTTATTCAGAAAGGATGCCATAAATTGATCCGAATTGACTGTAAAGACATTTATAATAAAGATTTCTATTTCAAATAAATGCTGTTCTTTTGAACTTTATAGTCACCAGAAAATCTGGAGTAATGATACTGAAAATTCAGCATTGTCATCGCATTTTAAAATATATAAAAATTGCAAACAGTCATTTTGAATTGTAATCATATTTCACAATATTGCTGTTTTTACTGCATTTTTGATCAAATAAATGCAGCCTTGGTGAACATGAGACTTTACAAACCCCAAACTTTTTCAGAACCATTTCAACCAACTAAACCGAAGTAAAATAATGCACATTTTAGTTACAATCATCAAGATATGTTTTCATAACAGGTTTTACTGGAAATGATCTAAACATTTTCTTTATAAATGCACCGGTATATACCTAATTGTAAATATCAATATATACTTGCATGTATGTTTTGGACTTCTATGAACATTTTTAACAAACGTCATTGGACTTTCAGAGCTGATTTGTGGAAATTCATTCAACTCTATGGCTCAGTTTAAAAATGTCTTGTGCTAGTGAGTTATAACTCAAGTTAGCAGGGGGAAAACTAGTATGCGGCTCTGCCCTTTACAAAACTTACTGGCCAAAAATAAAGCACAGCAAAATCATTTTGAATATTTATGATGTTCATTTTATTGTGATTTCTTCCCCAGGAATAAAGCTGGCTGGCTGGACAGTGAACTCAACATGTTTACCCAGCAGTACCTTCAACAGGGCCGATAGGGATATGTCTGAACACTGCTGCATTTAGAATCGAACACCTAGCCATGCTTTCAACCATTTATTTCAGCATACCAAATATTGCTCATCACATATTTCTTTTTTCTATCAGTATTGTTGTTTTTTTTGCATTTGAGAATTCAGTGACATGCAACTTTGAAGAGAGCTTTTTTTTGTACACTGTTTCTTTTGTATTTAATACAGGGGTTATTATTTATTCTCGAGTAAAGAGGTCGTGTAAACAGCTTGGCCTCTTTGTAGATTGTGCTATATAAGAGAAATCTGGATCTGGCAACATTAAAAAAAGGAAGCGGACATTTTGAATGAAATCAGCAATATGTTCTAGTGCCTAATTTCCCCCCCATAGCTGCACTGTTTTACTACTAATCATATGATTAGTATTGATATGGGAAAAATTAATATTAGTTATTTATGAATTGGATAGGAAAACCAGATTTATGCATATAATTACATTGTACATTTATTCCACTACTGTCATCCACACCTGAAAGCTAATCTGAGAGATCAGACTGTAAATGTACGGGATGCACTACTAACCTGTTAGTTCCTGCGAGTTATGTGTATGCTAACCTGTTTCGTTTGGATTATGATGTGTGCCAAGTGTTGAAGAACGTCATCAGGAGAAGCTCTCGTGATGTGCACTTTATATTTTGCTGCTGTAATGCATTAATTTCCAGAAGGTTCCTTAGAAAGAGAAAGGTACAGTGACCTGTCAACAGTAATGTTATATAGATGAGCATGCAGAGTCATTCACTATTACTGCTAGATGAAATAATAAAGTGACACTTGAAAAAGGAATGATGGCTTGATTTGTCTCTGTGAAGGATATGCTAAATGTCAGTTCTTCTTTCTAAAATGATGCTTAAAAAGCACGAGTTTCTGTTTCATCCTTTTAATAGGCACATGCACACTTTAAAAAAAAATTGGAAAAAATATTCTTGCAGAGATATATTCACTTTGCTTTTTTATTTATTTATTCATTTCAAATGTTTTACAGGCTCAGCAGCCCATTAATAGTTGAAGTCAAGGATCCCACAGTGCTGGAAAACCTGGATACATTTGGGAATTTCAGGGGGAAAAAAAGGTCCTGGGAAAATCATGGAAATTAATAAATCTTAAAATCAACAAAACAGTCAATCAAGATATAGTTGTGTAGTCAGCAGAGCTGGGCGAAAACTGATTACATAATCAGTAATTGGAGTATATTACATTTGAAAATACTCGTAATCTGATTACAGTTACTTTTTATAGATTACATATTCACACAATGACTAATAATTACTCCTCATTTATTGATTCACCCTAATTCTTTTTTTCTCTCTCTTAAATTTTCCGTTCTAAAAATCCTAATGTCATACTGTTTAGACTATATTCACAAATACTGTAAATAAATTTGCAAACCATGCTTCTGAATTAGAGGGAAAATGCACCTCTCAAGCAATTAGACCATGAAGCCGTGTGAAACGCATATGTTACTGAACACTGAACACTGGTGGTGTATAGCTGTGAGGCACTGTCCTCATATCCAGAGTGACTCTTCAGTATATATCTCTTGTGTGATGTCGTTGTTGTTTTCATGTTTTTGTCAGACAAACCTCTTAAAATAAAATATTTACTTCTTGATATTTCAAATAATTTAACAACACATTCACATGTTCTCTGTTGGCGGTTACTGGTTATGTTAACATGCAGGTAAACAAATAAAATATTTATATTTTTTAGTGTCGAAGTGTTACAATTATATTTTATTTTACATTTTTACGATTTGATTAATAATTCGCTTTTTTATCAACTCACTATTTCACTCTATCAACTCACTAATGTAATGTTTAATGCATTTTATGATGTTGATATCACAAAATGGAATATATTTTATTTCTCTTTGCTTTTTTTGTATCAATATGGTATGTTTAATTGTAAGTTTAAAACAAGTTTGATCGTTTTTCTAGTTATGCTTAACTCTTTGGCAAGACCTACTTTAGAAATATTTGTGAGTGTGATATAAATTAATTCTTAAAAACTCTTTATCCGATTTTATATATATATACTGTAAAAAAATCTGTAAAATTTACGGTAAAAACTGACAGCGGTGGTTGCTGGAATTTTACCATAAAAAATACGGTAGCAATGCTTTAGGTTTTACAGTTTTAACTTAAATTTACAGTTAAATACCGTAATTTCATTAACTGATATAATGTTAATATACCAACCTATTGAAGTACTGAAGTCAGTTTTGTACCTTTGTAATACACTGATAACCACCAAATGCAGGAGGTGATGAGAAAGTCACATGATGAACCAAAGCCCATCACAAGCAGCTTTTAAATAATAACATATATAGAAGGTGCACAGTGTGTCATTCACACAAACACTAAACACCATCACGGTAACACACATGAAACTGAAATAATGCAATAAACATTAATTTAACAACATTAGGTGTAACACACAACCCTAATATACAAAACTGATAAGAAAAAACTAAGAAGAAACATAGTTATTTCAACAAAAAAACATCAAATTTGAAATGTAACGCAGGGAATTCTGGGAGTCAATTTACGGTTATTCACTGTAAATTATACGGTCTTTTTACACTTCCAAAACATACATATATATATATATATATATCTTTACCTTTCTTATATTTAAATAAAATACATACATACATACATACATACATACATACAAACATTTGGGATGTTGTTTATCCAACCCCTTTATCTATGAATATTTTAATATTTTTTCCTCCCACCCCTAGTAGATTTGCTGGTTACGGTTGATGCATATCATGAAATTAAAATCCACGATCATATATTATGATAATGGTACAATGACTTCGCTTTCTGACAGGCACGATACATTTGAATGTACTACTTAATTAAAGGAAACTAATTAAAGGTCCTTTAAGTTGGACATTAATATGCCAAGGCTGAAAGTTTCAATTTGTTGTTTAATTAATCAAATTATTTTAGAGAGTTAGGCAATTTAAACACATTTTTGGAGAGAGAGAGAGAGAGAGAAAAAGTTTTGAGGTACTCCAAGTGTCTCACTGGGCAGTTTTGTCATTTAGTTCCTTTGGAAAATGTAACGGACACAATCATTCATTTTTACACACTTTTTAAAACACGTTCCACAAGAGTGTGTCAAAGTTTGGAGCTGCTGTCCATCCATAAGGCCCAGAAGTAACGTCCAAGCCAGCAGTTATAAGAACATGTTCAAGCCCTAATTATTATCCGAGCCATTACATGAAAAACCTCCATTTATAACCCTGATGCTTCAGTTTTCAAACAGTAATTAAGGCCTTAATGAACAGAGCTCTGCTGCCCCCACCTCACATCCCTGAGCTCATTTGCATGTTAATTATCATTAGTGTCATGGGGGAAAGAGCCCATAACAGCTAAATTAGCAGCTCAATCATGTTTTTGGCAACTCAGAGTGTCACTGAAGCACAACAGGACATAACAGTCCAGTCCCTCTCTGTCTGAAACAATCTTGTGCTCTTTTTCTTTTACTACTACTATATTAGCTACTACTAAAACTAATAATAACATATTCAAATGTAGGTGAAAAAGTCTTTTAGTAAAAGAGGCTTTACTGAAGTGTGAATAGGGTATCCTATATGTCAAATAAAGAGTTGTGTATCTTCATGTTAATGAACTGTTTTACCAAAAGAGGGCGACAGAGCATCCCATTTCACAATGCTCAACGTGAAAAAATAAATAAAAATCAGCATGTGCAATGCTAATGTGCATATTAAAATTATTTATTTGTTTCTTTAAACAAGTGGGCCACTGAGTAGATCATTAAAAATGGGGTTGATCGATAAAAAATCCTGGTTGACGATTGATTTCAATACAATTCTACTGAATGCATTTAAAGTTTAGACATACACTACTATTTAATTTGTTTGAAATGATGTAAATGTGGTCATACTTATGAAATTTAACCCGTCGATCAACTCAAACTGTAAAACGAATCCTATAATTTTACATGCTGAGATGTGATCACTTTAGTCATTAAACAGCTAAAAGGGAAATTTTTGACTTTATCTAAAGACTGCAATTAAACTTTTATCTTCCCTAAAAGACAGGCAAGTGACTGATTATGCTAAAAAAAATATTGACAAGATTATATATATATAAACTCTAGCCTATTCTGCGTCTTCATCATCATCATCATTTTTTTTCAGATTTGTTGGTCATATTTTGAGCCTGTGAAAAGAAATGAATTGGGGCTTGGTTACAATGAGAACAAGACTCTTATAATCTTATAATATAACTAATATTTATACCATGCAGACGCAGCACCTCTTTCATGCAGCTTTTTCTCAGTAATTACAGATTGTGCCTTACATAGATAGGCTATTTGATAATGAAGTCATTTTAGTCATCAAACGTTTTGGAAAATGGATGAGTGTTGGATATAAGGTAGCCTGTTTTAGAAGATTTGATTTGAATGAATTTGATGTCACAAATTTGCAAGTGCATGCACTCTTTTCCGTGTCCTGACGGAGTGAGAGCTGAGCTGCAGAGTCAGAGTCAGGTGACTGCAGTCCTGCAACAGCACAGAGCTGCTTCTTCATGATGTGAGATGATATGTCCCTCAATTACTAGTCTGATCTCTGGATATTTCATACATCCAGTCGTCTTGTGACTGATATAGGCTAATACACGATACTCTTGTTTCGCACTGGTTCCCTACATTGCAATACCACTAACAAACCAGCAGCTATAGACATTAAACTGCACTTCTGCAGCAGACCAATATATCTCTGCCCTTGTGAAAAAGAAGTGCACTTAATTGTATTGAAAGTGCTCTTGTTGTGTACTTTAAAGGGTTAGTTCACCCAAAAATGTAAATTCTGTCATTAATTACTCACCCTCATGTCGTTCTAAACCCGTAAGACCTTCGTTCATCTTTGAAACACAAATTAAGATATTTCTGATGAATTCTGAGAGCTCTCTGACCCTCCCATAGACAGCAAGGTAACTACCACGATCAAGGTCCAGAAACGTAGCAAGGAGATCGGTAAAATAGTCCATGTGACATCAGGAGTTCAACCGTAATTATACGAAGCTACGAGAATACTTTTTGTACGCAAAAATAACAAAAATAATGACTTTATTCAACAATTCGTCTCCTCCTGTAGCGCCATTTTGGAGAGTATCCTCTGAACGCAAACAGCGTATGCTATTCTGTGTCAGCTGCAGACTAGCACAGCATCCCGCGGGATGTCCCATTGCTGAGCTCTCAGAACTCATCAGAAATATCTTAAATTGTGTTCCGAAGATGAACGGAGGTCTTACGGGTTTGGAACAACACGAGGGTGAGTAATTAATGACAGAATTTTCATTTTTGGGTGAACTAACCCTTTAACTCTTAAAAGTTTTTAAAAACGATAATAATAACAAAATAAAAGGCCACTTGAGTGTACTTAAATAGACTTTCATGACTGATTCTTAATACACTTAAGTACACTTTTTTCAATTTTGGGAGAACAATATTCAGTTTTACTCTTCAATTTTAAAAATGCATGTATTGCTGTGTCATAAAAATAACAGTAAATAAAATAAATATTGATCTTTTTTTAATCACTACGAAAATCATTGTTAAGCTATATCATGACTAAAATTCATCAAACACTTACAATGTGTTAGTTCTGGTTGTTTTGCAGTGCTTTAGTGCTATATATTCATGCTGAATGTAAAACCCTAAGGGTGGTCTCATCGTTGCAGATTTATGAACCTCTTTTCACACCTAACAGCCTAATTAAGTAGGGCTGGCATTAAATGAGTGTAATTTAGTCCATGGCTGTGCCAGATCTACGACTGCTGTAGATCATCAGAGTGGATGCTGCTCACCAAACCCAGACTCCTGCTCTGGATTCCACCGCACGGATGAATGGATGGAGGACA